AAAAAAAAAAAAAAAAAAAAAAAAAAAAAACATTCTTCAATATTTCAAGTTTCTTCTAATGCGTGTCAATTTTAAACAGTTGATATCAAAACCTCCCTTTTCTATAAAAGAGAGAGAAACCAACAATGGCACATGCGTACGCACACAGGCACAGACACGCTGCTCACTCACTCATCAAACTCATACACTAAGAGAATGCGTGAGAAGAAAAGAAAAAAAAATGGAAAAAAGAAGAAGATCTGTGAGCAAAAAAAAAGGAAAAAAAACTTTTCGAAAAAATCAAGAAAAGAGACGAGAAAAAAAAAAAAGATGTAAATAAAAGAAAAAAAAAAGATAGGATGTGAGAAAAAAGAAAAAAAAAAGTATATGAGTTTTTTTTTTTTTTTTTTTTTTCGCCCTTGAACACCAAGCACTCGTGTTTCTTCTTTTTTCTTTTTAATTCTGCCCATTTTTACCCATCTGATCCTCCCTTTATTCTGTAGTCCGCATTTGGTAATAACCAATAGTCAGACTAGCAACATTTCAAGGAAAGACAACATGGACATTATTTTCTTCTTTATTATTACTATTATTATTATTATTATTATTATTATTATTATTTTCTTTCTTTTCAGCTCTTCTTTTGGTCATTTTTTTACTTTTTTTTTTTTTTTGGCGCGATGTCAAAGCAGAAACAATGAAAAACAAAAAAAAAAAAAAACACACATCTTCGCCAGGAAATACAATATAAAATGTACTTTTATGTATACAAAGATAAACAAAAAAAAGAAAAGAAAAAGAAAAAGAAAAAGAAAAAGAAAAAGAAAAAAAAAGAAAACTCTCTCACGTAAGGGTAGTGATACTGCTTGTTGCCAAACTTGATGAATCCATAAATGCCTCCAGTGGGGCATCACAGCAGGTGGGCAGGGTATCAATATTACTACCTGTGCGGGTGAGCAGAAGACTGCTGATACTGTTATTTCCAGGGAATCTCCCATTCGTCCGGGCTGAGAGAAGACCCACATGTCCTTCTCCGCCTCCACTTTCCCCACCGGGTCCCGCAGATGTAAAAACGGGTAAATTACAAACATGCGATTGTTGAAGCATTAAATGTTGTTGAAGCCATTCAAGGGACTCTGAAGGGAGTGTACGGAATGTACTGCTAGAGGGTGGACTATGTCCAGCTTTTTCAGAGCTAGCACGACTACATGAAAAGACACGAGAGTGAAAATGTTGTGGTTGTTGTTGTGGCTGTGTACGTGGACTCCAGAGAAATGCTTGACGTTGTGAGTGCAGACTGTTTGGACAATACGCGGATGAACTAGTAGACTGTCGTCGTGGGGTTGAAAGAGAAAATACACTCTCACCCCCACGTGGTTTTGTGTAATGATGAAGTTCCTCCACAGTTGATGGCAATATCTTAACTCGATGATGTCCTTGTGTAGATGTCACCGAACCCTTGATCTTGGTAGGTTCTTTTTTACAGTAACTTTTATCGGAATTCTGTGTTTCGCGAGGTACTCTCTTCAATCGAATTGGTGTTGTACCCCGCGGGAAAGAGTTTGCAAACATTACGGGTTTTAACAATCCAAGAGATTTAAATATCAACATAGGTTGTCGGAAAATACACACTGTGGGGCTATTGGAGATATTCTCTGTAGGAGTATTTGTACAAACACTACTGCTTCTACTGTTACCACTGCTTTTATCAATACTTTTTGACCTTTTTGTTAATAATCCATCATCTTTCTCCTCTCCGTCTTGTGAACCCGAGCAAAATATCTGAGCACAGTGACAACAAAAAGAACGACTTCGCCCTGTATTCCAATAAGGACATGTGTTAAACACGTCACTCTTTCTTCTCCTTTGCCGATAAGAAGGAGTTGCGGATATCCTTGAAGAGGAAGGGGAGGAGCGAGCACGGGGAGCGAGAGAGATGATTTTCGCACTTTCTGCAGGACTTCCCACATATGTATCGATTGTCCTCTGCAAACACCCAACACCATATGCTTGGACATCACTCAAATGCGGGGTTGGCACTCTCTCTCCATCCTCGTGGTTTATATTCCACGTGAGAACTCCGCCAGTTGTTGGATCGTCGCCGCAGGGACTCTTCCGTGTGCTCTGCCGCTCCAGCGGTGTGGGCGGGGCGGTGGTCTCATTCCACAGGGCGGAACTAACACTGGCGGTGGTTTCTCTTTCCCTTTCGTTTTCCTCCTCTTCCTCTTCCGTGGCGATGGCGAGGCGGCGGACGGCGGGCGGGGCGTCGGAGTACTCCTGCAGGTCGCCGAGGGCCGCGCGGAGCCGTCGTTTCTTCTGCGAAAATGTCGGGTTCTGCAGAGGACTGTGGATGTCTGAACTGGACATTCCCTTTTTCTCTTTCTCTCTTTCTTTGCGTGTGGAATGGGAATATATTGTAATGTATATAGTTAGTTGGTTAGTTGGTTAGAGAGAGAGAGAGAGAGTGTGTGTGTGTGTGAGTGATTTATCCGTCTTTCTCTCCCTTTTTTGGTGTGGTTGAAGGTCTGTGCAGAATACTAGTGAGTATAAGAAACAATAATAATTAGTAAATATTATTATTATTATTACTACTACTATGACGATTACCGGTGTGTATATGTGTATATATGTATGTATCTCTATTGTAGGGCTTAAATAAAAACCCACCCACCACACAGACACACGCAGTACCTCCTTTTTTTTTTTTTTTGTTTTGTTTGTTTGTTTGTTCTCTACGAGGGCACTTTTATTTTTTCTTTTGTTTGTGTTTGTGTGCACTCGAGGAAGAATAGGTTTATACTATCTTGCTTCCCACCTTGTCTCTATATAAAGGCAAAACGAGAGAAAAGAGGAAAGAGAGAAGTAATTTTTAAAAAAGGTACACCCCGTCAGATCCCCACTGTGTATCCGTATATCCATCCATCAAAATAGACTCAAAAAGAAAAAAAAGAGATGCATACACACTAGTAAACAACAAAAAAAAAAA